TCAGTACTGTGAATATTAAGAAAGGAATAGCTTTCGCAAATGACCACTTATTAAAGGACGAAAATGGTGGCAACGAGTGAAGTTTGCGGACGAGAGCAAGTCGACCTTGTGAGTCTCAGGTGGAAGGACTATCGTGGGGGGGAGGCGTAATGAGGAGCTATGGCTCATTAACATCAAACCAACCGTGAAACACGGCGGTGCAAGTGTAATGGTTTGCGGTGCACGGTGGCCATGGCGGGGGGGGGCATAAGTTTTTATGGACAATATTATGAACCAACACGTATACTTGGATGCATTAAAATACAATTTGAAGAAGAATGCGGACTTTCTGGGTCATTGCATTTCTGTTACGACAGCAACCTCAAACAAACTGCCTATCTTGAAAAGCTGTGGCTACACAAGATATCACAAATGTTCCAGCACAAAGTCCATATTCCAACACAAAGTTCAGAAATAAATCCCATTGAAAATCTGTGGACAAAAGTAGATCAGAAAGAGTCTATTTATTAGAAATGAACTTCTAAAAGAACGATTTCGGTAGGAGTAGGGAGAGGATTTTCTAGGATTATGCTCAAAGTTATACCAAAAACCGTTAAAAAACGTTAATAAGACAAAATTTGGGCCCAAAAATATTGTTTCCTTAAATTTTAATTTTAAAATATATCGATAAAACCTAAAAGTTTGTTGAGATGAGAAAGGGCATATCATTTTGTCTTATTACCTCATATTTTGCCATTATTTCTGAAAAGTGAATCAAATACAAGAGATTCCCTTAAATGTGCCATTGAATTCAGTAATTTCTTCCAAAAGCCTTTCAGTAATAGTGCCACTACGTTTTGTGCAATATCAGGTCAAAATTGTTATTGGTAATTTTCCCGTAGAATGCAACAATGCATCTACGGTGCGTCCGAGGTTAAAAATGAAGTACGGTGTCTTAAGAGAACAGTGATGCCAATCGTGGCGCTTTTTTGCTGCGCTGGATGAATCGAATACCCGCTCAATGGTGAAGACAAATCCCGCAATTGGGCGGAGCCCTAGTTTAGCTCTGGAGAAGTTTGTCTCGAACCTTTCCAATTTTATGAGAGTATTTTCTTCTCTTCATATCTAAAACTAGTATTTCTACAAGACTCCGATACACAAGAAACGTTTCTGTTAAGCTTCTCACGTCCTTTGTGCTTCGAAATGCCATAAGAAATCAGGACGAAATATTAGTTTTAAAGTGCACTACAGTGTTACATTACAGTATCCAAAATTTAGTCCAACTTCATGCAGTTTCAAAAAGGCCAAGGCTCTTGGTTTCTTTTTAACAGTAGAGAAATAATACGTTTTGATTACCGAACAAAATATTTTAAATTCCTTTAACGACAAAATAAATGGAGCTCACGGGAATAAACTGACCTCATTCACGGGAAGCCGAACTGCCTCGCACCAGGGAAGCAAACAGTCACCTCCCGGTAGGCAATGGGTAGAATTCCCGTTCGAATACATAATTATAGTTAAATAATTATGAACATTAATAACCATTTGTTTTACGCAGTATGCATCACTTTACCACTCTATCGCATTACGGTTGGTGGCTCACACATTCTAAATTAAGTTTGCAAAGAAAAATAAATTAAATTTTTAAAAAATTGTAAATTAATAAATTTACCACAACCTACAAATCAAAATGAAGAAAAGCAAACGAAATCACATTTAAATTTGAGGTGATTAAGATCATAAATCTCAAAAACAAAACAACTAAACACAGGTATTCAAATGGAAGCCGAACTTTCTGAGAACAGTATGATACGGTAACCGAATCACGTGGCACCGCAGCTATAGGTGTGGCTATGGCTATGGGTGGGTGATCCACCATCCAAACGTATTCCTTCCTAAAAAAATTAATAAATTCTATAGATATTCTCCACTATTTAGGTAAATATATATTGTATTCGAGGTATTATTGTACTAATGTAAATCTTGTTTTGAAAAATTATATTGATGAGGATTTAAAACATTTTTGAAATCTTAAAACCGGGGAGGATATTTATTTACCGGAAACGCCCATAAGGCCCTGTACACTCTTAACCTCGGATGCGCTATACTTACAGCTGCCACTAGCAATAACGGAGGTCGAAGCAAATATGACGGGAGCGGCACCAAGCGAGAGTGTAGGTCAAGGACAGTGGGAATGAGCAGCAAAAGTTATTCTTCGATTTCAATCGTGGCACAGCAAGATCACGAACTGTAAGCAGAAGAGAACGATGTTATCTAATCGGGAGCCACAAATCTAAAAAATTAAGTTCTAACGAAGCTCACGATGACAGTGCCCCCTCCCCGTCCAGCACGTGAGCTTCAAGGGCCACTATGTTTAAATCGGAGAATATGTTAGTGCAGCACAGGGTACGACAGGATGTAATAACTACAAATAACAGTAACGCAAGTGAGATTTTTCATTAGGGGTGTAGGTGTGGTATTACTCGCGAAACTTTTCTTGAACGATGGATTGAAGAAATGCGGGTAGAGTGGGGGTATTAGTTACGAAATTGGTCACTAGATTTTATGAAGCAATGTCAATCTCTGGAGAATCAGTCATGTCTTCGCAACTTTCTTAATAATTTGCGTTCTAATTTTCTCAGGAGATCGAGGTCTTTCCTGTGATGAATCTTCACCTGCTTTGGTCATTTATTTAATTTTTTTGGAGAAAATCACGGTCAGAAGTTCTCGTCTTTAACGGAAAATAGTTTCTATTTCGCGCCAGTGTTGATGTGTTTGGAATGTTGTCATCTACGATCTTTTGTCTTCAACTGTTTATTGTGTCAGAGAGAGGGAAGCAAGGTCATCGTTCAAGAAAAGTTGCAGCGAGTAATATCTGATTTCATGTTTTCTTTCAAGACTATGCCACTCATAATCTTTCAGTGAATGGCGTGCAAGAATCGGAACCATATCTACTAATTAGAGATGACTTAACCTTACACATTCATCAGCTGATTTCGAACTGCTAGGAGGTGCACCTTGTCACTTACTCGCTGCGGAGTGGAGAGAAAGTTATGTAATTATGCACGAAAAGTAGAAAATTTTCAGCAAAAAAAACTCATAATATAGGGTCATAGTAAAGAAACTGTGGATAAATTCAGTTGCTAAGTTTAGAAAAAATATCACGTAACACAATTAACAATACAAAATATGTTTGCAAACAATGTCAAATGTTTTGTAAAGAAAAAATTACAATTTATCAGCATTTACAACAGATCAAGAGATTGAAAACATTTTAAAAGATTGGAGTGTAAACGAGAAGAAATGGAATGACAAAAAACAAAGAATATACTATCGTAAAAATTAAAAACTCGTCATCTGTATTAAAATTCTGCGTAGAAAACACGGTTTCTTCAAATTTAAACTTTAAAAACTGTGTATTTAATAATTCTGTCTTTAAAAAATTATTGTTTAAAATTGTTTTTGTTTATTTTTTGATCGCCTTCTATTGGTTACATGCTGTTCTTTTGCTGTAAAATGTTAATAAATTAGTTATATCGAGGTACATTTTATTAAAATTATATTGTGTTATATTAATGAAATTTCATTGGGGAAGTAATACTATTAAATTCCAGTCGTGCCCTCAAAATTCTCAGATAAATCGACAGGTTTATTGACAATTTCCAAAGCATTTGTGGAATTACGTATAAAAATGTATTTCATAATGAATTTCAAATGACTATTAGTTTGTTGTTTTTATACTCATTTACAAAGAATTCAATTGAGGTATTAAATTAATTTGGTTACATAATAAATTATTTTCACCAGATATCGATGTATTACACTTGGGTTTCCCTACCGCATTTATTTGCACAAAAAGAGCGACTGAGCTGGAAGAACTGATTCGGAGAAAAGTTAAGCTTACTTTTAAAACACAAGACATCTTCTATTCAATATTTTCATTGTGACTCTCTGAATTGAAATATTGTATAGTTTGGTCCAAATAAGTTATTTTTAAAGGTCAATGTTTATAAAGATTATCTTTACTATATGTGTGCTGTGTTTTATGTATTCTTTATTCTCAAACACAGAGAATAAAGAATAGACTAAATAAAACTCAGCATACATGTAGTAATTGTAATCTTTATGAACGTTGACTCTCAAAAGTAAGTTAGTGTATAAGTTAAGTTGGAACCAAATAACTTATTTTTAAAGGACAATAATTATATAGATTACCATTATTACATGTGTGCTGAGAGAGAATTAAGAATGGACAAAATAAAACTCAGCATACATGTAGTAATCGTAATCTTTATGAACGTTGACCTTCGAAAATAAGTTAAATTAAGTTGGGTCCAAATAACTCATATTTAAAGGACAATAATTATATAGTTTACCATTTCTACATGTGTGCTGAGACAGAATAAAGAATGGACTAAATAAATCTCAGTATACATGGAGTAATAGTAATCTTTACGAACGTTGACCTTCAAAAGTTATTATATAAGTTACGTTGGGTCCAAATAACTTATTTTTAAAGGACAATAACTATTAGGATTACCATTATTACATGTGAACTGAGTCATGTATTCTTTATTCTCAAAGAGGGAGAATCAAGAGTGGACTAAATAAAACAGCATACATGTAGTAACATGTATGAGCATTGCCCTTCAAGGGTACGTTATTGGCCAATCGCGGGTCGCTGCGAACCCGGGCGCCCCCCCCCCCCCCGATCGCGAAGTTGCGTTGCGAAGTCGCTCATCAAAGGGCGTAATCCGTCTCGGCGCCGGCGGTGCGAAGGTCGCGGTTGCGCCTCGCTCGGCCCCACCTGCGGGTGAGCCCTCCTGGGCCCGTCCCCCAGCGCGCGCCCAGCCGCAGCGCCCGCCAAGGGCGCGGGCGCCCCGCCCTCCACCGCCCGGGCGAGCGGGCGGGCAGCTTCGTTACGTCACGCGGGCACCGCTCATGCGCGGGATCGTGGCCGGCGGCGGCGGCGGGCGGCGGCGGCCGCCGAGAGCGCGGCGCCCCGCGCGCGGCCTCAGTCGTCGCTCGCCCGCGGTCTGCGCTGCTGTGCCGCCGCCGCTCCGCCAGCGCGTCGCGACGACCGCCTCTTTGCCGCCACCGGCCGCCGCTGCCTCCCCCCTGCGCGCCGGACACACCCCATCCACGCCCGGCCCCTGCGGCACGCCAGCTGTCATGACTGTCTCGTTCTCCGCTTCCCAATAAAGACCCATTATTTTTTTTCTTCTCTCTGTCTCTCGTCTTCTCATTGACGAGAGGACGTACCAGTGGCAGCGCCGTCGTGCGGAGGAGGGGCGTGGAGGCGCCGGCGCGCGTGGCGGGACGAGGAGGCCCGGAGGGCGTGTGCCATGTGAGAGTGCAGTGCAGTGCGTGTACAGTGCGTGAGTGGTGCAGTGCGTGAGGCGGGAAGAGGACCAGGAAGAGACGGCGGTGACATCGATGGCGCGTGTGGTGGTGCTGTGGGTGCTCGTGGCCTTAGCCGGTGAGTAAATCGCGGTGGAGAAAGTGGGTGCCGAGTGGGGGTGCGGTGTCATTCGGAAGCAATGATCTGTGATGGAGAAATGAACGAGTGGTCTTGGTTGCTGGTGGCTGGTCGTCCCTTTACCCCCAAGCTATTGGGCCCCGTGCTGTGCCGACCCAGGGCCTACCGTTCAAGGCCGGAAGTTGTAGTCCGAGACTGGCGACCTTCCGGCGTTAAGAACCGCGCCGCGCGGCGCCTTCGCCGTCCGGGGCCTCACATCTCCAGACGGTCTTCTTCCAAAGCCACATTTCGTTATCCTGAATTTTCCAATTACGTGCCACGGGAGGAACCATAATGAACTGCGAGGGGTAATGATGTTCCGGGGAATTTTGATTCCCGGAGCTGGGCCACCCTCTGGCGATAAACTGCCGCCTTCCCCAGCTGCGCGCGTCCCCGACGGGAGACGTCGAAACAGTTGCCATCTCCCCAAGACGGAGATTTTCTGCTCGATTGGCAATTGTTCCCCCAAGATTTCGTTTTCTTCTTTTTTTTCTATCCGTTTTCCATGTTCTTTATTCCTTTTCGGCCTCCAGAACCGCAATGTCTGCATTTGAAGTTAGTTGAGTGAATAATGACGTTGATGGTTGAGCTTTTAAGTTTGCTATCCCGCTGAGATAGTTTGCGCACTGCTTCATCAGGAAACTAATTACAGAATTTTTGCTCGTAGTCAACATTTTTTAAGGAATGTTCTTGCAATCTTTACGCAATTTTACAGTAGATGGAATAATTAAAATTACGTGTTTCTCTCTTCATGGATACTTTCTGATTATCCATCTCTAACTTTCGTTCAAATTTTAGTTTTTAAACTGTGCGAAAAATGAGCTCTCTTAAATCAGAGTTGTAAATATATTCATAAGCAAGACTCTGATTCAGATGACCAAAATTTCTTTGAAAATGGCATATGAAAGACTTAAAAATAAGGGAAAATGAGCAATTAAAAAAAATTCAAACCTTTAAATGAAGACTTTAATTTACACAACGAATTTTACAATTTTAAATTTATTTACTGTTTTTTTTAAATTATATTTAATATAGTATTTTTTTAGGTGCAAATGTAATCAGTAGTTTCCAACCGGCAGTTCAGAAAGCTGGAGGAATTACGGAATATCCGTGTAATTTTGAGAGTTCGAAAAAGCGTCAACTGCAATAGCGAATGTCGTTCTGAACGGATGATGAAATAAAAACTTTGCTGTAGTGCGTCATTATGAATTCATGAAATATTCATTACCACAAAACAGGAAAAAGAAACAAAATGCGAAAAACTGACAAAAATGTCTGGAAGATTCATAAAAATGACCCAAAAATCGAAAAATTGGAAAAAATTACCCAACAACTGCACATTTCTATCACCTATATATCGTGATAAAAGTTCATTCACAAGTTAACTTCGTCAAGAATGCACCAAAGGCAAGATGACACGTCTTCAGAATCCGAGCCCTGCTCCTAACAATCAGAACAAATAGTAATGATAATCAGAGGAAACATCTGCCGGCTGTTGAGCGCCCCGTGGCGTATTGAGCGCACTTCATGGCGCACCTGCACGGCTCGACGTGTGATTACGCGCCTCGCGTTGCGTGCACATTCGCGTCTCTCCGAAATATTGACGGTTTTCGAAACGCGTAAATCACTGTAAGTGTTATTTAAATAGTGTTCAAACGAAATATTTTACCCGAAAAAATGTATTTAGTTTTTTTGAAAATTCACTCGCTTTTTATTAATTTTTTTATTTGATAGTGAAAATCGTAATAAGTTATCTTTTTTCTGATTTATTTTTCTATCTTGAAGTTAACTACTGACTACTTATTTAAATTTTTCTCTGCAAGAATCAATGTTTCGTTGTCTCAAACGAAACTAGTAGTATTTTACGAGTTGACTTGAACAATGCGCAATAATTAGTGGTTCTTTCACCATAGTGTATATAAATATAGATATCTGTACTAAGGTAACTTATTGAAAAATAATTTAGAAAATGTTTTCCAGCGTTAGAGAATATTTTTTATATTCTTATTCTACAAAATATTTTGACGATTATTGCTGAAAAAAACAAACTATTCTTTTTGACACAGGAAAATCAAACACTATATATGCACTAGAAAAGTTAAATTGATTGTTTAGCTTCCCAATCATCCTCCCTCGAAAACAATGAAAAATAATTATTTTCATTCCATCCCCGATCACTTGTGTTTTTAGTAATGTAGACAAATAAGGAGTCAGGGATAACAGTGATCTTTTCACGTCAAGTTAAATTTATCACGAACATTTTAATTCGCAAACATATCGCTAATTCATGTCGCCGCGCATCGAAGCTGAAACAGATAAGCCTACGAGAATTCCAGCTCTGGCGACAACAGGCAGATTGGAGCCACGGACAGGGATCGTAGCACGTACGGTACAAAGCTGCCTTATCCAATTTAGTAATCTCTATAAACTCGCGATGTATAAATTTTTCGAGTGTAATTGAAAACGTCACGGCCCCGGATTTCATTTCCAACTCGGCAGTTGTGTGCGCGTTTCCGCCGCAGCCGCTGGGAATGAATTTCCCTTCGGCCGGCCCGGCGCCTCGCCTTGAGCGCCGGCGTCGCCAAACGGCCCCGCAGAGCGACGTCGCGACGGCGGAAGGCGCCGCGACGCTCCGCGGCGCGACGTGACGTAACATGACGCACATCACTGATTTTAAAAAAAATAGTAACTTATTCGCCATTGCTGCCTTTCACGGGTGTTGATAAAAGTTATTTACGCACCAAGGGTTCTAATGATCGAGCTGCGACAGAAATTCCGAGGGAAAAACTTTTTCGAAATTTCGTACATACATGATTTTATTTTCTAACGGAATTTTAATTATTCACTTTTACTTGTTTACTAATTAACTGGACACGGTTTGTCATTTTATATACCCCTTCCATAACTCTTTCATAATTCCATCTCAAAATTTCTTCCGTAAAAAAAATGTAGCAACATTCAATTGTTTTCATATTTCCCTTGTCATTACGATCGTTTCGACCCAGGTAAGATACGTAGTTAATATCGAGCTGCGTATTGAAAGCAATTACAAGCAATACCGTATCTATAAAATACATTTCTCTCTCCTTTAGGATTTGATCATTCCTAAATTCTCTTGTCATGTGATCATTCATAACTATTGTTGCCATGTGGCTACTTACGCATAATCGTAATTGAAAGTAACTATTTGCTAGTTGTTTATTTTTAAACCATTTTTCGGAACCTTTACCTCACTGAATAATGTGAGCGGTGAAATGTCAATGCAACAACACAACTTTTCGGGGACACACATTGGAGTGCGAGACAACGGTAAACTCCACAGCGCACTTCATTTCATTTTCTATTTATTGGAATAATTACAATAGACCAGTACTTAAGTACTTTTACACAAGTAGTTTGAATTACTTTTACATTATTAACGTAGTACATATTACTTTCACATATGCAAATTAAATTAACCTTTTAAAGTAACGTAATAATGTAACTAAATGTAACTACTCAGAGGTAAGGAAGCTCATAAAGCGCCTTACTTATTCTCCAACGATGCCTAAATGTTCAAAAATGCTTCAGTTGGGAACGTGCTTTTAATTTTTGTTTGGAAATCGGGGATTTTAGCTAGGTGAAATTGGAATGGATGTTCGATTTGGTTGATGCAAGGAGTAGAATTTGCTGTAGATCTTGGCAGTAAATGGAATTACGAGTGGGTTATTTAATACCTTTTGCAACTGAAAAATTTGAATCGAACTCCCTTTATAATTGTAATGAGGTATTTATTTTGAATGACTTAGATTTTGTTTAAGTTATTTCAAGAAGCATTTAAACAGACAGGTCACACGTAAATCATAGGGCGGATAATATGTTTGTAATTGTCTAGTGCATTGCTCAGAGAAATTTTATTTTTGAAATTAATAAGCAGTTTTAGTACGGAGATCTTTACTTTTGCGTAGCGCCACGGGGCACTGTGTGCGCTCTCTGCCGTTCTGAAGTGGCAGAAATTAGTGCAGTAGAAGGTACTGCTCTCGTGTAGTGAGTGGAGGGCTGCCAAGCGAAAATACGATATCCGGGACAAAGAAGGTGCGCACTCTTATAAAAAAAGGTCTAAGCGTATATGTTGTTAATTCTCACAATCGAGTGTTTTGATAGAATTACATAACGTTCGATGTTCATTCTCCGCCGCTCCTGTGTTCACAATTTGCTTTCCTGAATTACTGGTGATTTGTCGTATACCGTTTTATATCGTATATATCGTTTTATCGTATGTTTTATCGTACATACAAGTCCCGCCAACGAGTTTTACTTTGGAAAATAGAATAGCCTGGAAAAGATAAGAGATATATAAAAATTAAATTAAATTTATAATTTTTTAAATAATAATAAGAATCAAGTGACTTATTTGGCATCAATCGCCCCTGAAGCTCCATGGCCACCTTTAGATTCGAATGCCGGTTGCATTTGCATTGGCTCTCCTCGGATCTGATTGGGCGCCCTCGCCATTTTTTTTACGCCGCATTTTACCTGCTTGGTCATATAGCAACCACTGTAATTTTTAACATTGGGGTAACTGTAACGAGAACGTATAAGCACAACATGACGCAAGCATGAGCACACACAAACATCCATGCCTACGGTGGGATTCGAAACCGCGAACCTTCGAGCCGAAAAAGTCACGGCCTTCCAGCCCTACCGACCTCCTTCGCTCTCGTTTGTAGAGCATTTGGTAGATCATTTTCTGACTTGGAAAGGCAACGCTGGAAATTGCGCAGTTTCTATAGATGATTCGCCTATTTCAAATATTCTTTCTTACCTGCAGAAACAATGACCTACTACGTCGCGCTTCGTTTTAACCAATATCTGATATTATTTTAGAAATATTAGCCAATGCCATTATTTTAGAATTTTGATAGAATGATAACTAAAACAAGACAAAAATAGTAAATTTAAGTTGGCACGAAATTAAATCGTGTTGTAATGTACAAGAAAAGGGGATTGCTTAAATTTACGAGCTTCGGATATAACCGGACGTTTCTCATTTCTGAAAGAAGATTCGGATGAGAATTAAAGACGCCCACTTCTGAGAAATTCCCAGTTCAGTGGCGTCATCTCCTGAGGAGCCTCTTGCCGTGCCCGACAAAGGCGTCAAACACAAGTTGAGATCCTTCTCCTCGAAAGGCGACCACCCTTAAATTATTACATTTTTATTACACAAAAATATTTATAATTTTTTTCTTTCAAGGTAAGTGTCTAGCACAAGTGTGATTAAATACGCATTTAGAAGTAATGAAAATCCGCACAAAAGCTTTCGTGAGACTGACATTTTTAACATATTGGACTCTGAATTTGGAATGTACCTTTTGCTTTGGAGTAGCGTTACCTAAAGTTAAATTCTAGCTCTACCACATCCCACCATCAAAGTCAAAATGAATAACGTCTCGAACAATTTTCTCTCGCTGCACTGGATTAACTACAACAGCGCTGTCCCAACTTTTTATCTCGCGTTTTTACGAATATAAAGAAGGAATTGTAATGTTGCGGAAAAAACAACTATTTTTCAACAAAAATATTGTATTGTGGAGCTCTGACACAGACAAAGGGAATAAATAATGTTCGTATTCTAATAGTCTTAGTTCGTATTCTAATAATTCGTAAAGTAAATTTTTCATTAACGCAATGTATGCTCAGAATCCGCAATTCGTGGGTCTTTGTTACCGAAAAATTAGCCGACGGTTAAACGTCCGTTCGTCTGCGATCAACGCTTGGGCCTAAACCATCTACACGAATTTCTCCGAAATGTTGTTTCCCCATCGACCTGAACGAGCTCGAGGCTCTGTTAAACTGAAAGATACATTTTGAATTTGGGTGATACTTTTAACACTTTTTTTGTCGCAGCTAATTGATTTCTGGGAGGGTAGGTCGCCCTGTGTCAATCATATCGTCACCCACACTCTACAACTTATCAACAAATAATAATAATAATAATAATAATAATAATAATAATAATAATAATAATAATAATGATGATGATGATATGATGATGATGATGATGAAGCAAAAATATTTCATAAAAATAACATTTGCTCACGAGTAGTTGTGCATGTGAAGACTGAATGTTGCAATTAATGTGAAGACTGACACAGCTTACTCTTTGCAGTTCGAAAAAAATACAATGTCTTGCTCTGCAACAAGCCATCCCAAATACGTCATGTGGGAATAAGCTCTTTTTAAACAGGATCGATAGTTTTTTGTAGTAGATGTAAATGAGATTTCTCAGATATATGAATAGGTGGAAACCAGAACGGTATAAGTGGCATTTTTTAAATTCTGAGAAAAACGTGTTTATTGTACGCTACATTTCAGTGACAATGAATTTTCATGGTTTGAATGAACAATTGAAATATCGTTGTTTTAATGATGAAACAAAGCACAACGACTTAACAGTTATATTGACTTAAATAAACAGATTTCTCAGAATTTATATTATGTCATTTATACCCTTCTGGTTTTCTCCCATTCATATTTGCAACCGGAACGTGAATACACTTTTAGAGCTCAAGATCCGGGAGTTGAAAGATTGGAATTCACAATTAACTTCACGTGTTAACAAGCAATATGAATATTTTGTCACAGCTCAACAATACCAATGTATCATATTTGGCGCATACGCCACCTTGAGCCGTGACAAACGTTTTGCCAAATTCACAGTTCTGCTCCGCCACAAAGAGCCCTTCTCAAAGTCATTGAAGAAGAATAAATGTGTGGAATGTAAGATTCCTTCCCCTATGTCCTCGACCGATACATTTCAGAATCTCATTCTAGATTTGTCTGGCCATCAGTAGCAATAGAATGAATGCAAGTGAAGAAATGTGTAAGATCTTACTAATTTGAAAATTTTAACTGCCACTAAGGTTTAAAAAAAATTCTTAAATTTGTAATTAATTAGACAAATCTGAATGGAGAGTGCGAAAGAAAGGCCATGGACGTCGCCTTGGGAAAGCTTGCACTACATGAATTCTTCAGTGGACGCTTTCAAGGCAAAATCTGGAATTTGTTTCAAAAGTAAAAAAACATTTCTTGAAGTTGCTTGGTTAGTAAATCTTGGCTAATAGAATCTGTTTGACTTCCGTGCAAAGAAAATGTAACCACTGCACAAATGCAAAAAACAAATACGAAGCAGTACGTAAGTACTATATGCAATATCTTTAGTTTTTATTTACGCATTAAAAGTATCTAATGAGAAGAAAGAATGGTTTGATATGTTACTTCAGAACATAGATTATAAGAAAGTTCGTCAGAAATTAGTTAAAATAATTTTATGGTTTGATAATAGTACTTGATAAAGATCAATTTACAAAAATCAGTTGCTTAGTATTTGAAGTTTTTAAAATTAACATTGAAATTTCGACTTGGATAATATTTACTAATAAAATATGACGTCACCGACACTGTAAAGTGTTTTAAAAATAATTCCATGTGTTGAAAACTTCTTTCGTGCTTTGCTTTGTTCAAATATGTTCTTACAGTATCTGGTATTGTTCTTATCATCTTATCTTACATCGTAGAAGCTAATTATTATTAACTTGATTGGCCACATTGGACCACTTGAGTCGTTCCACTTCACTTTTTACTGTTCATGGTCGACTGTCGAAGGTTTTCACCTTGAGGTGAGGATAAATCCTCGAGTTACAATTCTGAATGTTATTCAGAAAGATGATCATGAGAGATGGAGGATGATGGATGATAGGGGGTGAAATAGATACATTTTAGTACAGCTACGTTTTTACGCCTTTTTTTGCCAATATGCACAAAATTGCACGTAACATATTTGCATTAGTACAAATGCTAAATGCGAACTTGCGGATTGTGCCAATTAGTTCCTAAAATTCTGTCGCAACATCTTTTGCAACTACATTTGATTTACCTCGGTACCACTTCCATTTCTTCTCCCCTAATGTTTGAAGAGATTAAAAATCCACAAATTCAGTCTAATTTGTGTTCACTCCTATTTCTTCAATTGCTCTATTAATCGTTTTTAATGCGAATCTATATAAACATTAAAGGCGAATTTTTTTTGTTTATGTGAATAAGGTGTGAGTTGAGTTGAATAAGAATACGTTGTGCGTCATATTCAACTGAAAATCGGTATTTGCACACTGATGTAACAACGTTAAAGTGCGAAGTCGAACATAAGAGCGCTCATTCTTTCCCTAGCATTACTCACAGTTTAGTTTTTTCTGTATTCACTTGAAATTTTTCAAGTTTAATAAGGTCCGAGGTGATTTTGTTCGTAGGTTTTCAAAAATTTATTTCTCAAAATACGATAATTCGAACCTAAAATGAAATCAATCTGCAGCGCGATTTCCTTGTTTTACTTACGATATTTTAATTGTTCCCTTAAAGAATTGCACATCGGTGTTGCCAACGTCGTGAAACAAAATGTATTGTCCGAACACTTTCTTTGGTCATCTACGCCATCTACGTAGATCGATTTAGGGTTGGTTTAATTCCTAGCTTTATCACCAGGATGACAGCACCAAATAGCAAAAAAAGAACATTTATAGAATTTTTCTTGAATAATCTCAAAGGATCCAAAAACAAATGATCAGGAGACTGAGACGTGCCGAATGGCATCTCGTAAATTTTGATAAGTGCACGAGAGGTGGTCTAGCTGAGAATGATGGAACCGAACACTCGAACATTTGCACATACGCAGTAGTGGAACTAAGCTATGCATTTCTGTGATAAGATGAATATAGGTTATGTGTGCTTTGTACGTAATCTTATATCGCGAATAAGTATTAAAACATACATACTCTCATATAACAATATGCCATCGCCTACGCATAATTTTTGCTAAATTATAAGATCCACGACAGTGGGAGAGGTCTTATTCCCCGAGATCTGAACTTAAGACGAGTGCAGAAATAAAGAAATTTGCCACTATTGCAGTTCTTTCACAAGATTTTGAATACTAGATGGGGAAAAATGTACGACTCTAGTGTTTCGTTTACTGTGATTCAGTTTCGTGTCCAGGTGATTTAGTAGATAAAAGAAAACAGTGATAGTGGAATATTCGCTTTTTGATGTATTTGTGATATGAGAAAATGTAAAATGTGAAAAATTATAGTGCCATAAGAGATTAGTTGCGGTTTTCGACAGGAAGCTCAAGAAAGTGGTGACTATTATTCACAACAGCTCAGAATTCAGGACGCAATCCCACGTTATAATATTATATTTGAAACAATTATGCAACAGCGATAGCCTATTTGAGAAATATTCAGTATACAGTTTCCATGTCTTTTCTCATCAACCAAGCAACCCGGCAAAACAGCATCTGGTAGAACAGATACAGTTTCAAGAGTTTTCGCCTATAAAATGAAAGAACGTAGAAAGACATACAAAAAGAAAAGATAGAAAAATTAAAGTATGTGCATGTCCTAGAATGTCAAAAAGAACTCGTTAAAAGCAACATGAATTCTTGATGTTGCTCCTAAATTTCGGGAGTCACAAGACATCCCTGTGCTCTTAGCTACCGAACCAATGGAAGCACTCAGATGTGATGCCTAGACCGGAACTGGATTGCAACAACCAACACAAAGACAGAAAAATTGTGGTGCTACAACAGCACAAACTCTCTTGGATTATTTCTAAGTTTAACAATTTTCGAACATTCAAGTGATTTGCTTGGAGTTCAACGAAACTGAGACCTACTTAATTCTCTTCAGCGTTCCTTGCGCTACCTACGAAAAAATTAAAGAAATAATTTGAAGTGGTTCTTAAAAAATGACTTTTTGAGAATTTAATTAACATCAAGAAGAAATTTCGCAATAATTACTCATTTTTTCAAATCATTACACATGATCTTTTTTAAAGATATTGATTTTAGAGCAGATTTCATTTCAGGGAAAAATATATCTGTCGTCATTATTGTTTTTTTTTTTAATGTTAATTTTTTGCAATTTTCGAAAATTCTGAGAGTTTGTTGGAAATGGGTCTATCACTACTTTTTTACCGTTCTCTATTACCTACAACGAGACAACTTATAAAGAAACTTTGATTCCGTTCTTTTGAGCAAATAATTTTTTAGAAATTTTTTAGATTTCACGCAAAAATACTGAAAAACTACTGATATTTCAAAACCGTGATTCGTGATTTTGTTTCAGAATTTGACTTTGAGGAACAGAATATTCAAAATAATAAATTGTACCTTAAATATTGTAGTTAAGGGAGGACACGTAAAATATTTTGAATTTTCTCAATTTTCAAAACATTAGCGATTTCAACAAATATTTGTGAATCGCGTCATTCTTTTTAAACGTCCTTTGAATTATCTGAGTATAATGTATATCAAAAAAATAGACATTTTGAGATAATTTTGAAAATGTCGGAGCTTCCTAACATTGAAATATCCGTTTCACACTCGTTGGGACGTGTGTTAGTTTAGATCACCCGGAGAATGTCAATTTTGAAGTAAATCGTGTGAATGGTTTAGGCACGTAGGGAGAGATAACTTGTTTGAGGAAAATTCACGCAAACGGACGTAGGTAGGCGCCGGATCTTACAATCCAGCGGGGGAAGATACCCGCTTCCACCCGCGATATAACAGTAACTACAATTACGGGATTAACGATCTAATGACTGTTGACGCGCTCAGAATCATCAATCAATTAAATCTAATCAATCAACGCTATGGTCGCTACTGATGACCACGAACGGACGTATTGCCCTCAATCTTTTCGCATTGTCACATTGTTCTGTGTTTTGTATCCATGTTTGCTTTAAATTGAATTCCTAAAATTTCATTTAATTGCTTATAAAATACGATTATGCTGCAATATTTTGCGTTTGTAGATAGTTTTTATAGGCAGTTGCTTAGAAGAAAATAAAGGGATTTTTTAATAAACAAAGCACTCAAATACGGTCAGACATGCTAGCACATTTACTACAAAAAATATCTGCTATTCTCGACAAATTACACAAATAATGTTCGAACCTATTAACAGTGTTACTGCACGTTCTGTTCTTCCTGTTCTTGTAAACAGTTAGTTCCTATTATCAATTTTCACTTGCTGTTGGTATTCGAAATCTGTCCATTTTAGGTTTATTAAACATGTAAATAGAAGTTTAGAGTTCAGTATGTTTAAAGTTATGAGTTCAATATTGTTAGAGTTATATTGAGTAAGAATAATTGAGTGGAATATTGAAGCTGACATGTTGTGAAGAACGGATAATGAACAATGTTTCCGTAATGAAGATATTTTCCTATAGATACGAACCCCGTAATAAATTCAATACATCCTTGTATATATAAAAAGTTGAAAAAGAAAACGTACATTGAATGGGTTTATTTAAAATAATTAAATTACTGATTTCCATTCAAAACTTTTACTTACGGACTCAGAATATATTATTTTATTTCACCATCTTTATTAAAAAATATGTTACCATTATAATAGTTGTCATAAAATGAGTGTAAATGAGATCATTAAGAACGGAAAAAAGGTTTTTTAAGAAAATTCGTCCAGATTTTGAATACGAATATGAACATTGTAGTAATTTCCATTCAATTAATTTAAAATTGTAAGTATCTCTGATTTGTATGCCCGAACTATTTTGCATTTAAAAAAATGGAGTATTTAAGAAAGTATAGTAAAGGCAATCTTCCCCATTTTTACCGAGTGAAATAAGTCAGTCCCTGTAATTAAAAAAGTATATAAATGAAAACATCTTTGGTTTAACTCCAATTGTAATTTTCAGTCTCCAAAAATATTAACATTAAGTATCTAGTGCGAGTTTAATTAACTTTCAGCAGAAAAATAATCATTCTACTTTTCCAAAAATTTAACACGTAGTCATATTTGTTATATTCATATTTGTCATTCGGATAAAATGTTAAAATGTGTTGTACAGTGATTGCATTTTTCGTTTAAATAATCTTGAAAACGTTTATTGTATTAAGGACATCTTTGCAACCAAAAAGGTTCATCACAGAGCAAAGTATTTTTTTCGTTGATGTTAGCATATCTTTGACGTTACATGTGCGTTCTATGTAGAAGACTGAATAGAAATATATTTAGTGCTTTTTTTAAAAATAATCATGTAACATGCATGCAGTATTCTATGAATGATGCAGAGGATCTAACTTGAAAATATCCAAGCCATTTTTACGAGCGTTGCATATCCAGGTGAATGTATGAATGTTCGAAATGAATTTCAGCGTGAATATTTCATTTATTTTTGCATGACATGAAAAGACTCATAGAAAGTGAAGTATTTTACACGTTTGAAAAGTTTTGTGCAAACATTTACTAAACTGAAGTTAAAATTCTGTTGTATTTGTTACCGCCACAGAGCAAAATCAACCACCAGTGTTCTTTATTCATTCCTGATAGGCTTACATTCATATCAGAGGATAGAAAACATTTTATTCCTACCGCTAGTTTGTTAATTTGAGCTGGTCGACTACATCTCATGGATTAACTTTTCAAAAAGTTAGATGTAATATTTTCATGTACATTGTAATAATATTATTGATATATATGCATATTGACTTGGTTTAAGGATGCTTCAAAAGCTCAGAAAGTTCTGCACCGAATAAACTCAAATTTTGTCACGATATAGATTCAATGGTCCTTTTCATCTGTAGAATATTATGCAGAATTTTATACTGTAGAATACAACTCGTAGAACAAAACAGTATTCATGCCAAATACATCCCGCGACACACTCGACAAAACTTTTTGAATCTATATCGTTGAAATACCTAAACGAAGCTGTCTAGGGCATTCAAAACTAAAACTTCGAGGCCAATGGCGTCAAAGAAACGTTTCTCACACTGTGATCTAAAAGACGAGAGATATTTTAGAATATTCTGTTACATTTTTCCTCTGGAAAGGGGAGTGAGGGAGGGAAACAAAGAGAGAAACGGAGATGAAGGGTGGAACTACGCCCCGCCGGGTTCCGATAGTATTTAATATTTTGGAATAGTAAAATCATTTCAGACTATTGGCCTTTTTGCGATTTGTAGTAATACTTACCGAGATTACTTCTGTAATTCATAAGTTGAACTCCATTTAAAGAATACTGGTTTGACCCTCTAACTTCTTTATATTTATGCAATATTCTTTCACATCCAAATTTATAATGTTTTTTTTTTAATTTTTCGTCACTAATCAGTGGAGTATCTCTGGTTAGATTAATACCTCAACAGTATCCTTATGATTCTCTTGTCTCAGAAACACTTTAATTTGCCTTTGGCATAGATGTTTTAAAAATTATGATCCATCAGTGTGCAGTTTTATTGCCCTCACTCATCTCGAAATGATTTCAATTAATATCTAAGGTTCTTAATCAAGCTTTTGTACAGTAATACCTCTTACTCAAACTTACTTTGTTTAATATAAAAAAACACTAATGTTTCGCATTCAGATTTCCTTTGAAAATGTATTTTTAATTCAGACGCAACACACAAAAGTTCGTGTTTTTATATATTGCCTACTATACATGTTAGTATCCTATTTTTAAATTTATTTATTCTTATTCGACAAGCTTTGTCTTTAGAGGACTGTAATTATACAGTACATATTATTTTAGCTTTAAAGAATGGCGATCTGTAAGCAGTGGCTTTTATTAAAAGTAAATTTTGTGCTAAGTTAAACGATGCGAGTGTGAAGTACATTTCACTTTTTAGTCGACAGTTTTGGGGAGTTACGGTGGTTTGAATCGGTCTTTAGAAGATATGGATTTGATATTGAGGAATGGGGCTTCGCGACCTAATTTGTAGATTAATGACCTCGGGGACGACTGAGGTTTCGCTAAAAGTTGTGAGCTATTCCTGTAATATGGTTGCTTAATGAAGGCACATTTAATTATCTGCGAATCTGGATGTTTGATATGAACCAGCGGGCATTTAAAGGTCTTCTTAAAACTGTTTTGAATGGCTGTTCATTTTGAAGATCTATAGAACAGTATATCCCCAAACTGGACATGTGTAAGTAATGGTTTGCGGAATTATGAATTTAAATAATATCAGTCGGCACACAACTTTCAATGAAGAGCGTGTAGTAGTTAGAGGGGAAAATTTTGATATTTTGATAGTACTTTGTTGTCTATTACGTTAATGAGGTTTTCAGTTACTTTCGTAAAGCAACACTCGTAAGAATTTTATCGGTGAAGATGGTGACAGTCTTAATATCTGCTTTGAAGAAATTATCAGCTTCGTCATCGATGTCCTTCGTATTACTGGTAGGCTTTTTGTATATGCGTAATAAGATATCGTTATATTAGTATACTTGTTCCAATTTGCAGGTCCTTTTACTTCATGATCGAAGTGAATTTTATCGATCTGTGTAGATAACTATATTAATATTGGTCTGTGGGTGGAATCGAGTTCTGGTAGAAGTTTTTGGCGACTGGGAAAACTAACATTTTTTTGAGTGCTATATCTAAGAAATCCGGAGTGTAGTTTCGATTGGATGCATACCTGATTGATTCATTGGGAGATATTTTTGGATTGATGTTATTTGCAGTTGCGAAATCTGATAGTGCCTCTCCTTGCAACGATGTCGAGCTGCATACTCGTGCTGTATTTTTACTGTTGAAATCACCTAGTAATAAAATCAGATTGTACCCATGAATATACGTCTATATAACGTTTCCGGAGAGGTTATGTTAGAACGTTTATACCCTGCAATATTAGTTAAGGTATTACCACTGATTTCAATTTGTACTTCAACAAAATGAAGGTTTCTTGGCCTAGGTGTCGGGCAGCAATGTAGAGCTACACTACTGAGTGTAACTTCGTTGCTGAGAATTTTGATTAGTGCTCGTACACTCGCAACAGATGCACTGTAACACCTCATGATAATGCAGTTAATGAACAAAAATAACATTTAAGATCACCATATAGAGATTCGTGGAATCAGAGCACTGGTTAATAAGATTTAATTGCGTCAACGATTTACTTTAAAATGAACTTGATATTCAACGGACTTCAAACAGACTGCAATGGAAGAAATGTTGCTTTGTTCCATCGCGGACGTTATCCATAAAATAAAACTGAAGAAATAATACTTTCTGGGAGATTTTGTATGAACGCGTTGCAATCGTTATTGTTCTGCAGGTAAAGATCCTTCGTCCTAATTTCTGATGCTTTACTTCGAATCGCAAAGAGATTATCTCAGACGTTATTTTGATCGTTTCAAATCCATCACACCTCCCGTGCCCTGAATTTACAACGCCCAGAAAAATTTCCTCACACTTTTCGAAAATTATCCACATAATTGCATTATTTTGCTTTCTGTCACGTGCTTTTGGGCGTTGCTTTCGGATCCTTAGAGCCCCGGGTGTGGCTCACCACCTTTCGATCTCATCGAGACACTCTGAAAATTTTACTTCCTTCAATTTCACTATTTGTCTAAAAAGTTAATATTGAGTGCATTGTGTATTGCAGGAGTAACAATTGAATTTATAACATAATTGCAAGTTGCATGTATGATTGTCAAATTTGTGAACGAGCTTTATCATCTATTTTAAGGGCTTCGAAGATCACTAGTCAGCCACTAATAAATGTTCAGGGAATTTAAAATTTCAATTTTTAGCACTAGTGTTTCAAAGCCACTGACTTCAATTTTTATTACTAATGCACTCATGCTAGTGTGTTCAGATGAATTTGACAATGCAACAAAAAACACAAAATATATTCGTCTAACCCGATCTGCTACTATTGACTTTAATGTATCATGAAATAATTTGTATAGTTGAATAAAAATAAAATTAAAATCAGTCAGGTTGTCTAAAAATAGTAAATGCCAAAAGTGATAAGGCATTTCACTTTTCTGAATTCAGTGATTTTATTTATTTCAATTGCGCCACATGGCCTGTTGGCCTCACACCGCAACATTCCTACACGCAATACAAAATGTCAATTTTATCTCTCGTATCAGAAACCACTATTAAAGAATTCAAAATAATAAAAAAAATGTTTGTAGATTGTACACAAAATAATATTAATAGTATCAATTATTGTCCGTTCTTTCTTAATACTTTTCTGAAACATATTAAGATAAAATATATTTTGCGTCATTTTACTAACATTTTAAGGAATTCAAACAAAAATCGTTTTGAAAAATAGGTTGAACGACAATTAAAATACTATAGTAAGAAAGTTTTACTTAAAGATCAGTTGCTGATAAAAATAAGAGAAAGTGTTTTCAGTATTTTGCGTCAAAAATCAACACAAAACTACAAAAAAAATCCCTTTATGCGTGTGCACAGTTTTGTAGCAGAATTTTTGCGATATATCGAATGAACGGGATACAATATCAAAATAATTCTTTAATGGTATGAACAAGAAATAGATAATATAATTTATTTCATCTTAAATATGAAATTAAGGGAATGTTGATCTGGAAAAAATCATGGACTTTTGTAATACTGACATGAATATTTAAAACAGATTTGTACATTCATCTTTAAAACACGTCAGAAACCTTTGTTTCGTTGGGATAACCGACGTCAAAGCCCGCGCTGTTCACGTGAATCGTGACTGTCGCCATCGTTTCCATCCCACCCCACCGGAAATCGAGTAATTACAGTGCACCACTTGTATCAGAAGTTATCGCCGAGCATCGGTTTTATTTTACAACGCGCAGTTGAACATGTGATTCGGCGGGATCGCTGGCCGCGTCAATGATGTCCAATAACATTGTAAAAGTTCAGCCTCCCCGCTTGTGGGAGGGACATGGCGTCCGGTTCCAGGGGCGGTGCGCGGGGAGTGGGGGTGGGCGTGGCAAGGG